GCACATGGAAGAGACGATTTATGAACTGATGTTGGAATTGAAATTAACTACGAAACAGGCCAATAATTAAGTGAAGTAGAAGCTAACAACAACTCTTTAGCAAGTAAGCTCTAAGTAGGAGACGATTGTAGCAATTTGAATGCCTTTCGCATCAAAGCAAAGTCGTGACGGTAAGAATTTGTGTTGTCTAGACGACGACTATAAAGTTTAAAAACCAGGGAAAACGCAAACGCGACATTTGAAAGGTAAGTATTTTCTAAATGCCAAGAAGAAAATACTCACCTTTCGAAGTAACTGGTAAAATCCGGATTCTTGGGAGTCTGAAGTTTCGTTCAGTTCCTGCAACTTCCCTAAATACACAACCATTGAGAATAGCATCCTAGAGGTGAGAAAAAGGAAATGCGTAAAGAGCAGCTTGAAGAACGGTTCCAAGCTAGAATGGCGAGCTTAAATCACGATGCTCAACTAGCTGATTATCTGTGTATTTAGCCTATTTCCCATTAACCGAATTTATCTACTTTGAAATAACTCACACATCATATAAACATCACAAGTTAAAGAGTTGTCTGCATAGTTACTCGACACAACTACCCAATAGTGACAAAAGCTGAGAGATAACAGAGGTTTACAAATGTGTCGAGTGCTTACCACATACAAAGCCTTGGTGGTCTGCACCTCCTTTTCAAGTCGTTCAATGTCATTGATGGCTGCCATTTCAGCAGACATCTTGCTCATGCGATCCCATGCCGATCGGACTTTCTCTTCCCTCTCCATGAGGATACTTGCGACATTCTCGGCAAGGCTGGTGGCTTCGGGCGTGAGAGGGCAAGCGCTGGAGACGTCGAATTGAAGACGAGCCCCAAGAGTTGCCAGATCGTCGGTGAGTTGCTGCAGAGCAGTCTCTGCAGCTACCTTGGCTTCGTGAGCCATGACAACTGGGGTATCTCTGCTGTCTAGGTCAATATTGAGTCCCGATATGACCTCCTTCAGATGGCAAACTTCTGCTTCTTCCAGCTCAAGACGCATGACGGCATCGTTGAGCTTGGTCTGAACGTCAAGTATAAGAATTAAAGTAGAAGAGTACGATTTTTAAGGCCCCGCTTACTCCAATTCGTTACTGTTTTATAAAGCCACATGCGACGTGTTCATGTACACTTATCCTAGTCAGAATATTGAGCGCCCTTTTTCAGCAAGCATGAAGTAAACCATAGTTAACTGGTTGACATCATGCTACACAACTGTCACGAAACACCCCTCCATTTCAGCATATTACATTAGGCGTTGAGATGAACGTAGCTTGAGCCGTTCATGAAGTCACTTGGCTTCATCCTATTTTCAAGCCTGTAAAATCCCATTTGCTGAAAGCCACTAATGCAGTAGAAGCTTTTTTTCAACGTAGAGAAGTGGAGCATCAAGATGGATTTGAAAAAGACGAGGTCGACGTTCTAACCACGAAAATCCTGTGCAACCAGACCATAGGGCCAGAAAATTAGGTTCATGCTTAACTACAGCAATCCTTACTGCATACTCTTGTGTCCAAATCAATGTAGAAGAAATGCCACGGTGTATTCACAATTTGTTCATCATATTCTCGACACAAGTAAACAGTGACGA